ATTCATGACTCATTCATTGATTCTTTGCGTTTCTTAAATGTCTTTTTTTATTTTATAGGCCCATCTCTTCCTTTGTCGACCTCTTGCCTTGTAACCTGATGTTCTCACGTAGTATCCTCTGGCTGCTGGCTGATAGTTGTACCCTTCTGACCAGATGGTCGAGCCATTTGATTCTTTGAAGTTCTATAAAATCAATTACAGTAATTGTTTTTTCGCTGGTTGCTCTGTCTCTTCCTGGTTTCGACGGACGATCGAATGAACGAACATTGTACCTAAAGGAGACAAATTGGGCACATATTTACAGTTGTATTTCACCGACAAAGCATGTTATGTTCACAAAAGAAGGAGAGGAAGAAGAAGAGGAGAAAGAAAAACAGAAAGAAGAACAAGAAGATGATGATGATGAAGAAGAAGAAGAAGTAGTATAGTAGTTGTTGTTGTTGTTAGGGTTGTAGTGCTATTAGTAGAAGGAGAGGATGAAAAAGAGGAAGATGAAGAAGACAAAAATGAAGTAGTAGTCGTAGTAGTAGAAGTAGTAGTGGTAGTGGTAGTTGTCGTAGTAGTAGTATAAATAGTAGTACTAGTAGAAGTAGTAGTAGCAGTAGTAATAATAATAGCAGTAGTAATATTATTATAAATAGTAGTAGTAGTAAAAGTAGTAGTAGCAGTAGTAATAATATTAGTAGTAGTAGTATTAGAATAAATAGTAGTAGTAGTAGTAGTAGTAGTAGTAGTAGTAGTAGTAGTAGTAGTAGTAGTAGTAGTAGTAGTAGTAGTAGTAGTAGTAGTAGTAGTAGTAGTAGTAGTAGTAGAAGTAGTAGTATCAGTAGTAATGACAATAGTAGTAGTAGTAGTTGTAGTAGTAGTAGTAAAAAAATATAATAATAAGGAGAAAAGAAGAAGAAGAAGAAGAAGAAGAAGAAGAAGAAGAAGAAGAAGAAGAAGAAGAAGAAGAAGAAGAAGAAGAATACAATGAAAAAAGAGTAGGAGGCGGAGGGGGAGAAGAATGTTGCATAACAACTGACCGGAATATGTAGAAACAATTTAAACAACAGATCTCCCTTGATACTTCTGTCCAGCCCAGACTTGCCGCCTATGATATCCTCAAACCTGACCACTGAGGTGTACAGATTGCAGTCCAGACGGGGCAAGACCTGGAAAAAAGGTCAGTACCACAGCTGACTTCCACAGCTAATATATTAAATGGTCCACCTAACGTTTCCCGACCTATCTTCAGACTGGCTGACCTTTCATTCATACTTTCTCAGACTGGTCCACGCCAGAGGGGTGTCAGGTTCTATCCCAATATCCCCCCCCCCCCAATCCCCCAAACAGACTGTCGAATATTTTAGTGAGAGCTTCAAGTTTTACGGCCTTGAGATTAAATTCATCACCATCATCATCATTCCGTAACAATGCCTGTCGTTTGGTCATCAATTTCTGTTGACTGAGCAGCTCTCTCCACCTTTGGCGGTCAGTTGCGATGGACTTCATGGTTGCATGCTTAAGGCCTGCCCAGTCAGGCAGAATATAAAACCAGGTCTTTCTAGGTCTGCTTCTTATTCTCTTTCCCTCTACTGAGCCCTGCATTATTTATTTTGAGAGGCCGTTAGATCTTATTACATGTCCATACCATTGTATTTTTCGACTTTTCACTGTAGTTAAATGAGGTTCATAGTTGCCAATTTGAGAACAAACTACAAATCTTCGGTTGTAATGTTATTTTAAATATTGCATTCGCCATCGAAAGTGGAGAACCATCAAAGATATGGAACAAATGTTAAATGCATCTAAAAAAAACATGTAAAAGAAAAATCATGAAATTACGTGATGAAATACCAAAAAAGTGAGATTTAAAAATATGTTTTGACAAAAAAACTGTATAGACGGTAGTAAGAAAAATATGGTGAAGATATATTGGGAAAACTCTGAGACGAGATGAGCAAAGAATAACAAAACAAGCACTAAAACGTTATTACGAGAGGCTAAAAATTTTGGGCCGAACTCTGTGTCAGAGAGTAGCATACAATAGAGCAGGGTGAAGAGATAGAACACGTTTCATGAAGATTATGATGATGAACACATGCTGTATCCTCTGCACAATTATTCATGAGATGTTGCAGTTTGCAGCTTGAGTTTTCTGCCGTGTGAGGTAGGTTGCTGTCTGACACCAGTCCACTTTAGGGTCTTCTTTTACGTGGTTCTCCCTACATAGCTAACTGATCAGTTTTCTATACATTGTGGTAGTATCTACTGCATGGTGACTGTATGGGTGTCTAAACGGTTCACATCTCTCTGCCCAGGTTATGAAATGGATACGAGGATATCGCTAGGGTAGGGCTAGAGAGAGAGAGAGAGAGAGAGAGAGAGAGAGAGAGAGAGAGAGAGAGAGAGAGAGAGAGAGAGGGAGAGAGAAAGAGAGAGGGACTGCGTGTGTGAGAGAGAGAGAGAGTGGTTGGGACAGTGCGAGAGAGAGTGTGTGCTTGCTTACTTGTTGTACCACACTATGACATCACACAAGCGATAAACACCCGATGACACAAAGTGCCACCATGTGGATGAGGATCACCCTCGGAGAGGTCCCAGAAACATCTTTCAGCGGTTGTGGCCACAATTGTGGCCCAGCTATATTCAGGGCCCCCCGGCAAAAGTCAGGGAGGGGCTTCAAGTAACGAAAAATTTCATCCCACTAGGGCATGATTGCCACAAAGAGCAAGAGAGAGAGAGAGAGAGAGAGAGAGAGAGAGAGAGAGAGAGAGAGAGAGAGAGAGAGAGAGAGGGAGTAGAAGAGTAAGAGAGGATGAGAGAGATTAAGACAGTGAGAGAAAGTGTGAGAAGTTGATTGAGAGTGTGAGATAGAGTGACAGCAAGTGAGAGATAGACAGAGAGGGAGTGAATGAGTGTGTGTGTGTGTGTGTGTGTGTGTGTGTGCGTGCGCGCGCGCGTGCATGCGTGATTTAAAAGTCTAATGAAATCAATATCCAAAGTAGAAATGGCACCTAGCTCAAACACGTTCACTTTCTATAAATTCCCACAGAACGTTAATGTTGTTAGTCCACTTCTGGACTTAAGTCTTGTCTCACAACTTGAGTATTTCCGTTTTACAGATGTGGTTTATATATATCCAGACTGATGGTTCTTCGCCTCTCAGGCAGACACACTATCGCTTCCAATGAAACACCTTAATTAGTGCTGGGTGGGGTGAATCTATAGCATCCCCCCCCCAATCCCAACAGCAACACAGCGGGGTCCTTTAACCCAAAATAGGGGTCTAGATACTTGGTCCAGGCTAACTTTACTAATAGTAAACTGACAAATGCTAACAGAACATCTCTCAGGAAGGTAAGGGGAAGAGCAACGAAGAGATGGATAAATGGTGGAGACAAACAAATCCATCTTCTAAGCCCATCGAAGAGCGCAAGAAAACCACGACACTGGGCTACAACCTGGTATCTTTGAGACGACAAAATCATGACAATGGGCTACAGCCTCGTATCAGTGAGACGACAAAAGAAGCGCAAGACAAATACAGAAAATCACGACACTGTGTTATAAATGGTATCAGTGGGACGAACAAGAAGAAAAAGAAGACAAACACTACGTACCATAATGTCTCGGTAGACAAAACCACGCCTCCCCCATAAGGGAGATGTTTTAGGATACTCCATTGTGCTGGTACTGGAGACGCCGCTGACAGTCCATGCATCATACAGACGTTCGTAGACTGGGTACACCCCTGCGTGAAAGGGCGGCACCATATAACCATACGCCATTGGTAGCTTGTGTTCCTAATTTGGAAAAAAGATAACATGGAATGTATTGACATAGGTTATTGCTATATAAAAGTCAGATGTGTTTTGTTTCCCCCTTTGATTTGAGGATCAGCTGTGCTCAAACATGAGTGACTGTAGCTGATTCACAAAACCTGCTGAGTAAGGTTGAGACAGGTATGCTCGGGGCAGAGTGGCACACATCGCTTCAGAAGTATCGGGTAGTTAGCGTTTAAAAAAAATATTTTCTCTAGGTCATGCAGGTGTGCTGAGAAACGAACAGACAGATAGACTGGCTGGTTCTTTACGTCTCGTCTGATGTATGACAAGCTATATGTGGTCATGGCCCTCTTGTGAACAGTGCAGAGGCACATTTGGATTATTGTGATCTGAAGAGAATGGTGCAAAAAGGGCGCTGAGGAAATACCATGGATCGGGCCGATACTCCACACTTATAGGAAATGTGAGATGGACATACAGACTGCTAATGGCACCATAGGAGTTGGGAATCTTCGTTGGCTGCTTAGGATGGGGATGGAGCGCATTTGGGAATGCATCGAGTTATGTGACGGTTCGTGAAACTCAACTCACCTCAAACATTATAAAAATGACTGTTGAGAATTATGTAGACAGAACTTAAAACGAACACCCAACAAAAAACAATTACAACTGTCATTCATCATCATCAACATCATCATCATCATCATTATAATCATCATCATCCAGCCACCACAGTCATATCTATCATCATTGTAAAATACAACTCTACTACCACTACTACAAATACGACACCACCACTATTACTTCTACAACTGCTTCTAATACTACTACCACTGCCACCACCAACACCACTATTACTACTATTCCTGCCATCACCAATACTACAACTACCACCACTACTACTATTATCGCCACCACAACTAGTACTACTACTACTTCTACTACCACCACCACTACTGCTATCACCACCACCACTATTACTATTACCACCACAACTACTACTGCCCCCACCACTACTATTACTACCACCGTTACTACTACACTACTCACCACTACCACTACTACTGCAACTACCATCACCACCACTACTACTACTACTACCACAAGTACTTCTACTACCACCAGAACTATTATTACTACTATTACTACTACTACTGTTGCTACTAATATCACTACTAATACTACTACTGCTGCTGCGGCTACCACTATAGCTGCTGTATCTACTGACACTGCTTAATTACTAATTCCGCTAAAAAATCGAGAGACTAATACATTTTAGAAATAAATCATTTCAAAAAGTGCGATGCTTAATGTATAAATATGAGCCCTTTATATATGTGATTTACTGAAGCGATGGTAACAGTTACAGCTCGAGGTTATGACCAAAAGGGTTGAACAAGATAAACAACGCAATAAAAAGAAAGCTAACAGCCCTTATAGGAAATTACGTCAAAAGCCACCCACCTGAGCAAATTGGATGTTCTTATCAATAGCTTGTCTGATCCTTGAACTGTTGTAGTTCAGCAAACGGTCATGTCGATAAAGATGATTAAACCACAGAAAATGTTTGGCTAATGCTGCAAGCAAACACACATAAATAGATATATTACCGACTTTATTAACTATCTCAACAGGCGTTTCAACGGTGGTTTGCTGTCTATGTTTATCATTGACAGCTTTCTTTTGTTTTCTTGCCAACTTCAGCTTCGATTCACTCACAGCTCGAGGCAAACCTATCTCAGAACGGTGATTGGCAGAGGACACATTTCTACGTTCCAGCAATGTATACGGCTCAGAAGTATAATTTCTGACTATTAAATAGCACATCATCATCATGTAGCAGGTCCTTTGCAGAACGTCGCTCTCATCACGGGCTGCCTGAAAGAAACTCGGTCTCTCGCCAGTTCTCCCGCCTCATGCACTTACATACTCAAGGAGTCACTTATATCCTGTGCCCATCTGTCGGTCGGCCCCTGCCCCTCCTTCCTGGTACCATGCCTTCTGCTATAACCCCCCCCCCCCCCCCAAATCCGCCATAGCACTTGATATGACCAAAATATTTCAGCTTTTGAGACAAGTGCTGTTTATTAGCCAGCTTTCCTTGATGGTCAGATCTTTCAAGATGTCAGTATTTCTCCTCTTCTTTGTCCATTATATTCTGAGAATCTTTCTGTCGCATTTCACCTCAAAAGCCCGATTTTCTTCCTTAACCACTGACATCTGTATGTTGCTAGAGAGAAGATGAATGCTCTCAAAATTTAAATTCTGTTTTTCCTGTCTGGTGATAGACCATAGACTTTTAATGCTGTTTAATCTTTGCATTGCTATGGCCACCCTCCTTTTGGTTTCTGCAAACAGTCTCCATTGCTATTTATTAAAGAGCGTAGATATTCAAAGTTTTTGACATATTTTAATTTCTTCATCATTTATTTTTATTCTTGGGTGACAGCCAGTTTTGTCTGTGGACATTATTTTCGTTTGCTTTGAATTCAAGAATAGGTTTTGATTTTCACCGTGTTTTTTTTTACATATGTAACTAAACTTTCTGTTACATCTAGAATGTTCGACTGGAGGACTGTGTCATCTGCGTAGCGGAGTTCTGGAATAGGGTTGCCACCAATTATGAGAAGTACATAACTGTCACAAGTCTGGTTAATGTGTTTTCTGCATATATTTTGAATAGGTATGGTAAGAGAAAACAACCCCAGCCCCTTTTGCACCTTGAACCAGTCCGATGTTTCACCGGCTACTCTGATGGCTGTTTGTTGTTCATGATATAGTTTTTTTTTTTAAATTAAATGCACCAAATGCGCTGGAAACCCCATACTTATCATAATACTCCACCATTTCTTATGTTGGATACAATCTAAGGCATTACATTAATTAATGAAACAAGCATGAAGATCTACGTTGTATTCGCGACCTTTTTCAAAAATTATTCTTACATTAAAGATTGATTCCTAGTTCATCTATCAGAAGCCCTCATATTTTAGTTTCCATTCACCCTTTCAGTCCTCTTCATGATAATTCGTAAGATGATTTTTGTAAGCATGACTTATTAATGCGATGATACGGCCGTTGGGGCATAGTTTCAGATTTCCTTTTTTTTTTTTTGGGAGAGGGATATACATTGTTCTTTTCCACGCTTTAGACCAAATGCCACAGATCTTTGTGCAGTGTGCAGGGAAGATTCGGACGCTGGCCTCGTTTCCTAGCTTTCAAAAGCACACTAAAGAATATAATCTCTTTTTTAAACAAAGCAAAAACAACAACAAAATCTAAACAATGAATACCGCACACCAACTACAGATTAAAATCGATAAAAAGAATTTAAACATGTCAAAGATTTTGAAAATATCAGCTTTGTAGCGAACAACAATGGCAACAGCACTAAACAGCATGAACAACCTATGGTACAACACCTGCAAGCGAGTTAATGTCACAATTTGAGATCATGCATCTTTTCCGTGGCAACTTATAGATGTTAATTCTCGTAAGTTAGTTACTTATCCTTTACAGGACGTTGCAGAACCAACCCCAGCATTTGTTGACTGTTTGTGGTCTTTCTAGGCAAATTTACGACCAGTAGTTTGCCACCGCTTCCTGGACGGTCGGCTTCTCGATTCCACTGTCAAAACTAACGCAAGGCGCCTGACCCGCAGCTGGGATCGAACCCGGTACCCCGGCATTACGAAGCGCGTTCGCAACGCCTAAGCCACAAACGCCGACTTTAATTCTCCAACTCAATCATTAAAGACAGAAATCTGAGCTTATGAAATGAAATACAATAGAAAGATTCTTTGAATGCCATGGATCAAGAAAAGAAAAACATATTAACATCCTACATGATCAGAAGATCGGGGAGATTGGCTTATAAACAGCATCCTGTCTCGAAAGCTGAGGTATTTAAGCAATATCAAATGTAACGGTGGCTTGGAGAGCACTGTGATGGACTGAACAGTTCTCGAAAAACAAGGCAGATGCAGAACTTCTGAAGGCGCAGAAGAAGCATTAGCTGTGAAAGCACACGGAGCTGGAGAATCGGCTGGAGAAAGAGACTTTCACCCATATCGTGACAAGAGCAACATTCTGTGAAGGGTTTGCTGAGGGATGATGATGATGATGATGATGTTGATGTTGATGATGGAGAACTTCAGGTTTCTCAGAAACTTATGATCAACTCCTTTCATGAATGGATGTCTGTTAGACTTGGGTGTGTGGATGCCAATGTGATGGCTTGTACTGACTTGGTTGTCACCGGTATGAAGCTTTGACTTCGCCATTGTGTCACTCGTTAAGATGATTAAACCAACCAGAGAATTGTTAGGCTAATGTTGCAAGCAAACATACATAAATAAATATAATATATTACAGACTCTGAAGAAGCACAGAAAACAGACACACATATCTAGTTCGGTCGTGGACAGACAGACAAGACTAGCATTGTTACTGCCATGGTCTTGCGCGAGTTCCCTCCCTTCCTCCTCATCATCATCATTTGCCGACCCGTTTAGGGAGATCGAGTTAAAAAATAAGTGACTGTTTCAACCAGCCAGTAATGAGGACTACCCCAAATACAACAACAGGAGAGACGGCTAAATAAATAGCTTTCACATGCGATACCTAAGAATAATTCTTGGCATCAAGAAGCAGGACAAGATTACAAACACTGAGGCATAAAGTAAAGATCCCTTTTCACGCCTTTCGGCGCATCGGGCATATGGGCAGAGCGTCCCATATTTTTACAGACCATCAGCACTCTGTGGGTAATGTGGTCAGCATTACGCCGGCTGTCTTTACTTTCCCAGGACAGCCCATCCTGGTACCCATTTTAGGCTGGGTCGACCTGCGACGTCCCATACCACGACAAAGATCCACGCAGCCTGCAGTGGGTTTCGATCGCGGTATGCTGGCTCACGAGTCGGACTCGCAAACTGAGGCATAAAATGAAGAGGTATTACAACAGTTTTGTCAATGCTCCGTTTAGGAAGCCTCAAGTGGCTGAGTTACACCTGGAGAGTTGAGGATGGCAGAGTCCATAAGGACATCCTTTATGGTGAACTAAAGATGGCAAAAGCTGTAGAGGCCGGCCTCCACTACGATATAAAGACGTGCGCAAGAGGGACATGAATGACACAGTTTTGGAGGTCGACTCATGGGAATAAAATGCCATGGACCGTGTTCTGTGGAGGGGGCACATCAGGAAGGGAATGAGAATGAAGGAAGAAATGACTGCAGAGAGGATGGGAGTTGAGCGTCTGAGAAGAAACAGACTTAACACAAATGTTGACAACAACGGTCCTGAAATCCTATGTGACCACTGTGGAAGGCTTTTCTTAACGCGGGCAGGTCTTGCTAGTCACACTCGCCATCGCCATGGGCTGTGAGTCCCATGCCTCCCTAAAGAGCAATATAACACTATCATATGGAAAGACGGAAAGGTTCCTGTCAATCAGTCAATTACAAAAATCAATTACTTATTTACTGATTTAAGAAAAAACGTCATATTGGTTGCACCCACAGATGCTCCGTCTCAAGCGGAATATGTCCCAAGGTGTTAACTGTATCCGTCGGTCTCTTCCTCTCGCACGTCTATTTTTGCCTTGTCCACACCAAATTCATCGTTCATACATTCTTACACATTTGGTTCATATAACCACGTGCCTTAATTATTCTTCTCTGTCCAGTACCAGTGTTCCCCGTAGCTATCACTTTTGCAACCAGAAAATCCGCTCTTTATTTGCCTCGCACGCCTGCATCTCCCGGAAAGGTTATCCATGTGATTCATGTAATGTTGACAACACAAGATCCACCCCTCCCCCCCCCCCCCAAAGAAAAGTAATAAGTATAGCGGTTCTCCAGTGTCATATAGTTTTTCAGAGAAATACGTACCCACTAGTTCCCTGTCCCCCGCCTGTTCCTCCTTGTTCCCTGTCATGTAGTACCCACCAGAAAACCCCAGGTTGTAGGTGAATCCTGGAACTAGTTTCCGTATCTTCTGCTGGCTGGCAACCATTGCCTACGGTAATAAATACATTGTACGTAAATTAAAATGACAAGAAAAACTGTCATACCGAATAAACTCTCCCAGTCCAGAGCTCCAGGGCCCAAATTGAAGAAAGAAGGAATAGACATGCGCCGCCCTAACAAGCATGTCATAAAAGGCGACTAATTAAAGGGTTGTTAAAATTTGACACTTTTGGTGGAAAGGCAGAGATAGCGCAGCCTAGCTGTAAACCTCAATATAACTTGGAATCGCTAACTTAGAGTATACGCAACTGAAGAAGAAGAAGCTAAAGAAAAAAGAAAAAAGGAGGAAGAGGAGGAGGTGAAACAGAAGGAAGAAGAAAATGCCATAGCAGCAGCAGTAGAAAAAGGAAGAAAAAAGATAGGAAGAAAAGAAGAAGAAGAAGAAGAAGAAGAAGAAGAAGAAGAAGAAGAAGAAGAAGAAGAAGAAGAAGAAGAAGAAGAAGAAGAAGACAGAGTAGGAGGAAAAAAAAGTTAAAGAAGGAATAATATTAATAAATCGAAGAAAAAGAAGAAGGAGAAGAAGAAGAAGCAGAAGAATAAGAAGCACAAGAAGAAGAAAAAGAAGAAGAAGAAGAAGAAGAAAAAAAAAACAGAAGAAGAACAAGAAGAAGAAGAAGCAGAAGAAGAAGAAGAGGTACTTAATTTAAAACTTACCCCTGACGTCACGACAACGTCACGGGAGATATTCCCAATAAATTCTAGGGTGTTCAGGTTGTAGTTTCTCTCGATTTATCTACAGCAAAGTTTAGGGTTAGGGTTAGGGTTAGGGTTAGGGTTAGGATTAGAAGACACTAGATAAGCACTCAAAAAAAAAAAAAAAAGCACACTTCCACCCCTTTAAATAATGGACTGTCAGGTCAGCTGTGGATTTCCCACGGGGATTTCGTGTTTGGGGTACGTTATAAATTAAGAACCGAAGAAGAAGAAGAAGAAGAAGAAGAAGAAGAAGAAGAAGAAGAAGAAGAAGAAGAAGAAGAAGAAGAAGAAGAAGAAGAAGAAGAAGAAGAAGAAGAAGAAGAAGAAGAAGAAGAAGAAGGAGAAGAAGAAGAAGAAGAAGAAGAAGAAGAAGAAAAAGAAGAAGAAGAGGAAGCAGAAGGAAAAGGAGGAGAAGAAGAACAAGAAGAAAAAGAAGAAGAAGAAGAAGAAGAAGAAGAAGAAGAAGAAGAAGAAGAAGAAGAAGAAGAAGAAGAAGAAGAAGAAGAAGAAGAAGAAGAAGAAGAAGAAGAAGAAGAAGAAGAAGAAGAAGAAGAAGAAGCAACAGAAAACACATAATATAAACCTGTTTTATTCTCTGCTTACCTGTGCATCTTTGACCAGGGTTCGAATCCCGGTATTTCCAACGAAGATATCATCAATGTCCACCTGAAGCAGGCGGGTCAGCGGCAACCCCAGCAGACCATTGGTCAAGTATGTGATAGCGTCCGTGGCAATGATTGAATTTAGCCAGAAATCCAGGTTGTGTCCAAGAAGAATCCGCTGAATCCCGTCAATGAGACCTGTTAGTGTAAAGGCATTGGAAAAATATATTCCAGCCAAGCAAAAGATATTAAGTAGAATTTCTACACGCATTGCTTTGGAGGTAGGGTAGTATTAACTTGATCTTTCTTTCATGTGTGTTGGTGTTTTTGGAAAAGAAAAAGCAGACAGATTAACTGGTGAACTGATTAACTTTAAAGTGGATGTACTCATGGTCTGATAGAAGAGACTGAACAATGCAAAACAGCCTAGAAAGAAGTTGAAGTTTGAAATTTGAACAACGGAGTAACATCGTGGCACACGGGTAGCAACCCATAAGTGCTCCTTTTTTTTCTAACTCAAGTCTCTGTCCGAAGAAGTTCAAACCAGTGCACACAGCCTAGAAAGAATTGTGCAGTGCAAAGTGACAATTAGACAACCGATGGTACTGTTGGAATTTTAACTCTACGACGGCTGTTAAAGTTTGCTCAGGTGACTGGGTCACACCTGGAGAATGAAGGGTGGCAGAGTCCTTAAGGACATCCTCTATGGTGAGTCAAAGAAGGGTAGAAGTGACGATGCCGACGAATAAAGATGTGTGCTAGCGGGACATGAATGATACATGCATGAGGGTGTGCTCGTGGGAACAAAATTCCATCGACCGTGTTGTGTGGAGGGGCACATCTAGAAGGGAATGATAAAGAAGGAAGAACTGAATACAGAAAGGATGAGAGCTGAGCGTCTCACACTAAACACCAATGTTGACAACAATGGTCCTGAAATCCCATGCTACAATCGTTGCAGACGTTGCTTAACGTGGGCGGGTCTTGCTAGTCACACTCACCATCGCTATGGACTGTGAGTCCCATGCCTTCTCATAGCGCAGTATAACACTATCGTCTGGAAAGACTGAAAGGTGCCCTTGATAACCAAATTCAGCACTCAGAAATAATTATTTGAGAATATCACCGATTACTGTCTGCCTCTTCTCTCAAGTTCAATCAACCATCTGCTCCCATATTTTCAAGTTACCAACGTTGCCCAACGGTCTGTTGAAGGCTAGTGGAGGGAATGTTGAATGTTGAATTAACAATCGACATCACAGCACTCAAAACACTACAATAAGTGCTCCGTCCCCACCTTCAGCATCAAGCAATGAGTTTCAATCCCTATAGCACCAGTAGACGTTTGAATGTATATCTGTATCCTTCCCTTGAGAGTTGAGCGTCGGCCACATGTCCTGGTTACTCTTCGCAGCGCCATTCTCCTCATATGGTTATGATCTATCTGCGCATCCGCACTGTTAACTCGTTCCCAAAGGACTCTTAGAATTTCTAGCTTGTTATACACCAATTCACCAACAAGTGGTGCAGAGCCGGTCAGTCTATCTTCCTGCTCATTTCCCAACACACCGGCATAACCTGGAGAAAATAATCCAAAGGATGCTACCAGGGACCTCTGAAGTGAAATGGAGGGAAAAAGTACCTATATATTTTTAGGTACATATATATGTATATCCCCTGACATTGTGAAAGAACTTGCGTTTCTCAGTGATCATGAGAGTTAGTGATTAGTGATTAGATTAGTAGTTAGTGATTAGAAAGGATTATCATCACAGCACTCCGGACAGACCCATAGGTGCTCCGATCTCCTCCTCAAAAGCTCTCCAAGTGTAAAACGACTGATGACGCCTGTTCTGTGTTGGTTAATGAACCGTCTTGTCCTCTCAGTGAAATGTTCATTTCTTGCAGCTCCAGACTGCACCTCCATGTCCATCAGTTTAGACATGGATATGGAGTCATGTCCCCTGACGTGCTCCTCGGTAGGGTAAGAGCCGAGCATAGCATTGATAACATCACTTCTGTTCAGTACTGGGCCAGCCATAGCAATGATGATGATGATGTTGATGATGGAGAACTTCAACCATGAGTGTTATACTGTCGGCAGCGTCACTACCAGCAAAAAAGAAGGAGGGGGGTGATGGAGGGGGGAGATGAAGCGTGGGGGCGACACCATCCCCTACGTAAAACTTCAGTTGAACACAAAACAGATATCTAAGCCTCGATCCCCGATGGGTTCAAACCATAAAAAGAGATGAAACTTTATTACAGATTATGGAAATCGTCTTTTGGCGACTCTGGACACACTAAAGATACAAGAAGCAGGGAATAAACGGTGAAAAGAAACAATGAAATTAATAATCTGTTTAAATCAGCATTAACAGCCAGCAAAATGAGGGCTGAAATAACTAGGACATATTGATAGATGATAGAGAGACAAAAACTGTGTCCACAAGGAAGCTGAGTGGATGCAGACCAGGAAGACAGTGGAACGACAACATTTAGGCAGATCGTCAAGAATCTGGGTATTCGCCGTGGTTTAGCGACTAGATGTTCGCCTGTGAATGGGAAGATCGTAAGTTCGGGTTCTGACGGATTCGAACTTTTGTTCAAAAGTTACCTTGGCTCGCCTGTCGAAACAGCCTTGACTGGGTGCCAAGTGTAGTCCTGGGAAGTCAAGACAGCCGGGGTGGTGCTTCACCCATCACACGCAGATTGGTCTATAAATTACATGTCGAGAACCCACGAGGGATCCCCAAAACCACCCGAAGGCGTGGAAAAGGGTCCTTAACTTTTACTTACAAGAACTCGGAGTCACCGACTGGAAACATGTGTTAATCACAGAGAATGGATGCGTGTGATATCTGTAGCAATCAGTCTACTGGCAATACATCGACCTGGCTACTTCGAGATGCTAAGATAAGTGATTGTATGAATTTGTGTGGTATTGTTTTATTTATGTATGTGTTGATGAAGGCTCTATAGTTGCAACGTTCACGTTCTGTTTGTGTTCGTTATATTGTGAAGCTTGTTGATATACTTTTCGTTCAGTTTTATATCTTTTCTTGATATCTGTAGCAATGAACCTCAAGGGTCGGAAAGCTGAAGATGACGAAGTATACTTCTACTAAACAATCGCACAGTTACGCACAGGATAAAATAAATAAATAAATAAATAAGTAAACTCTCAGAGACAACTAGAAAATTCGCGGATAAATAGCTCAGCGAAGGCAAAGAAATAATTACCATAAATACTTCATTACACGGCGCAATCCAGGAAAATTGAACAGCTTTATTTACATTTTCGAGTGACGTCCCTTACCATAGCCTCTCATCTGCCGACGAATCTCACATTTCCGGGTCAATTCCTGGCCAATTTACTTCCTGACACGCGTGTCAGAGTTTCTACTCTTCTAACGCGTTACGGATATTTTGTGACAGAAATCACGCCACAGATAAGTTATTTTATGTATTCATGTTTCCACCGTGTGGGTACCGGGCACCCTTGTGGGGGGTTGGGGGAGGGGGGAAACAATAGATTCACTTCCTCATCAGAGCTGACAAATTGGGAGCTCCCTTCGAAGTCTAAGTGCATCTACAAGAAAGACAAAGAACGAACAGTCTGCATATAAATACATCACATCTGTAAAACGGATGTGCACGCAACACCAGGTTCTGAAAGACGACGAAAATCCGTTGGTGGCTGAATACCCAGAAATCTCCGCGGGAGTTTACAGCCAGTGAGAGGAAAGAAGAAGAAGATGTGTTTTCTTCTTGTAATCATTGCAGCATCCGATTGTGTCAGATGCTGATGAAGACATTGTAGCCGCAACGTTTGTTTCGTCATTTGTGATTGTGGTGTTGTGAAGCTGATTGGTTCTATTTCTTGTTTAGATCTGTTATTTTTTCCCCATCGTATTTATGATGCCAGGCTCTTGTACAATCAATCAATCAAACAAATATTCAATCAATCAGTTAACCAGTTAATCAACCAATCAGTCAATATGTCAATCAATCAATCAATCAATCAGTCAATTTAATAATCAATCTATAGTTAATCGACCAATCAAGCATTCAATCAATCAATCAATCGGTCAATCAATCAATCAAATAATCGATTATTCGATATTTAGAATAATCTATCGATCAATCAGTCAATCAATCGAATATTCAGTTAGTCAAACAATCGATCAATCAGTCCATCAATCAGTTAATCAATCAACTAATCCATCAGTCAATCAGTCAGCCAATCAGTCAGTCAATCAATCAGTCAATCAGTCAGTCGATCAATCGATGTCAATCAGTCAGTCAAACAATCAGCATGTCCTTTACAGAACGTCGCTCTCCTCACGGCACACCCGAAATTATCTCTTTCTCTAGCCAATTCTCCAGCCCCATGTGCATTCAATGCCAATGTATCTTCAACATCCAGTTTCCACCTTCACGGTGGTCTGTAGCTGCCTCGTTTACCAGACACTGCGCCCTCCATCTGCGCCCCCCTATAAACCACCAAGCCGCTTGAGGTGGCCAAAATACCTTAGCCTTCGGGACAGGGTGCTGTTTACGAGTCAATTCTCATTGATGTTCAGGTCGTGAAGGATGTCGAAGTTTTCCTTCTCCTTGGTCAAGTGTTTTTAAAGAAAGTTTCTGTAACATTTCAGTTCAAAGTTCAGATTATTTTTTCTTCAAAATAAAAAAAAAATAAAAATCTGGGTTGGAAGATAATGATTTTGAAAGCTATGTTGAATGTTGAATTTTGAATCGATATTCAGCACTCGTGACATTCCCATAAGTGCTCAGTCCTCATCTTCAGCAGCAATCAAAGAGTTCCAATTCCGATGGTACCAGTAAACATCTGACTGTAAATCCGTATCATTGTGATGAGGTGCTTTGCATGGTATCCACGATTACATTGTGGCAAGCAGAAAGTCCGTGCAACACGGGACAGCACGAGATACTTGTGCCTAGTCGAGTAAGCAAGGGGCAGCCCGAGCTAGACTCGGGAGCAGTTGATCAACAGAAGTCAGAGAAGACGGTTGTAGTAATTGAAGATGTCGTCTTTATGTCGCGCGAACGGTTAGTGTTCGAATATGTCGCGAGTGATAGAAGTGTGAATAATGTTTGAACGTGTGGAATAAATGGACCAGAATAAACTGATAGAATCTACAAAGAAGCCGAGTGGAGTTTGTGTTGTCAACCCTAGACGTTAAAGCAGTGCAAGTTTTGTAGCAGTAAACATCCAGAGAGTGAGCCGTGACGAAAGTCAATATGTAGTGAGCCAAGGTACATTTCAAGTCAAGTCAATATTTATTTAAATCATCCATCCTCTGAGTGTTGAGCGTCGGCCATATCCCCTGGTAACGCCATTCTCCTCAGACAGTAATGATCTATCTGCACTTCAGCACTGTTTACTCAATCCCAAAGGGCTCCCGTAATATTTGACTTGTTATACATCAATATAATGTTGACGATATAAATACGATTGTGCCATAAGCTGGCTACTATATGATGAAGATTATGATAATGACGATGGCAGGAGCAAGATGATGATAACAATATGTTGCAATAGATCTGCAGTTTCAGGCGATGCTGACGAACTAATTACAAACATTAAAGTATTTCTTACCTCGATCATGGACAGCAATGACGCAATCAAACAGCGAGGTATTCCCACGATTTCCTTGCACTCCGGCGAAAGAGGAAAACACCAGAGGGGTGTATTTTTCATGATTTGTTATGAATATTGCCCAATCAGAAGACGGCAAAGGCTCCAAAAATATCTGGTTACTCCTTGCCACCCGCCAAATATCTGATTCTGGATTGAGCTTATAATTTCTCAGACTGAAGTGACGTTTTATATGCAGAAGTTTATCACTAAATATTTCAACGCCTTCATATTCGTGTGTCAAAATAAGCATGCCTATTTTGAAGGCTCTACAGTAACTGTCCAAGTCATCCCTTCTGGTTGGTTCCATGCTTGCGTACGTGGAATAGTCGTCAAAAACGATCAACGAATACTTTGGTATCCCCAAGTCTTCCAGAACTAATGGCGGTAATTTATTTGACACACTTCGAAATTTATATTCAATTCTCTGGCGAGCGAAGAATTCTCCGAAAGAAGTAACAGATGGGTGACTGGTATTCAATAGAAAAATAAGCACATTTTTTAACATAATCTGGTGAGGCCTAAAGAACTCCAAGTGAGATTTGCCCACAGGGACCCTGCCTGTAAGTCTGTCGTTAAAATATGTTCCTAAAGGGTTCTCCTTAATCAAGTCCTCGTACAGATTAATATGATCGGAGGATGAGAACAGCGCATTCTTAAAGAACACTCTCTTTGTGTTCGAAGTTTCAGATGACACGAACGTACTGTTGGCCATAATCCACTTATGGGGGTTGTGAATTTGCGATGTGCTGATCAAAATCAAAACCGACCAACAGAAAATCCCTGCAATGAGCAGACATGTCATCTTTAACCTAGAGGATTTCTTCATGGAGTTTCTGCCCACGCTAGAGAACATCTTCATGAAAATCCGTTTGATATGCATCACCAGGTATCCATTTGTGGGGAATGATGTTATATCTAAAATAACACTGGTTTGTCTAAAATAACACTGGTTTATCTAAAATAACACTGGTTTATCTAAAATAACATTGGTTTATCTAAATTAATACTGGTGTATCTAAAAAAACACTCATTTTTTTTTTTTTAAATGGTTGGTCTCAGATTCTTGTGTCTCTTTGAACTGCACTGGTTTTATAAATGGTTTGTGTCAGATTATTGTGTCTTTTTTAACTATACTGGCTGTTTTAATGGTTGGTGCCAGATTCGTTTGTCTCTTTGAACTGCACTGTTTTTTTTTTAAATGGTTGGTGCCAGATTCTTGTGTCTCTTTGAATTGCTCTGGTTTTAATAATGATTGGTGCCAGATTCTTGTGTCTCTTTAAATTGCTTTGGTTTTAATAATGATTGGTGCCAGATTCTTGTGTATCTTTGAATTGCAGTGGTTTTTTTTTTAAAAATGGGTGGTGCCAGAATCTTTGTGTCTCTTTGAACTTTCATTCATGATTTATCGTAGGACGCTATAACCTATAACTCAACTTAAGTAGTAATTGTTGCTATGCTGTTTTGATTCAGTGTGGAAGACTGTGAACGTTTGGTGTCGCTGTTGGAATATGTATGTAGATTTTCTTTAAAACTAGGTAAAAGTATCATAGAACTACATGTAATCTGCTGTTGAATCATGATTCCTGGACTGTTTCTTCAGGGTGAACTGGTTAGAGGCGATTGTGTAACTGAATGAACAAAGTGGCAAGCTTCGCTGGGAAGGTCACGGGTAGGGAATGAACAGTCAGACAGATTGGCTGGATCTGCACCACTGGGTGGTAAATTGATATATGACAAGGCAGGTGTGGTTAAGGTCCTTTGGGAACAAGCAACGGAATCAGTAGAGAAACAAGATTATTATGGTTTGGAGAGAATAAGGCACCTGGGTATACCCAGAGGGTCTGGCCGGCTGACTACACTCAGAGGAAAGGCAAGACGGACATATAACCAGATTGTGACCGGCACCAGCACAATTGGAACTCTGCTGAAAATGAGGACGGAGCACGCATGGGAATACCCCGAGTGCTGTGATGTCAATTCTTGACTCAACTCAACTGTGTAACTGAATAAACATAGACGTATCTTCATCAGCTGTTCGTTATCGGTGTTGGTGTTTGGACATGTGGTAATGTGTACCTGTGAAGTCTGCATATAACTTCAGTCACGTAAGCCCCTAGAAGAGGGTCATTGCAACTATGTGTTACAAAAACACCACTCGTTCACGTCTCGAACATTACCAAAAGAACAATAGCTGTAGCCTTACGCCCCACAGGCAGATATTATAACGTGTGACAGCTACCAGTTACTAAAACGACGATACGACTTCTCAGCAGCGAAGTACGAGGAAGAAAATATAACGTGATACCCTCCCTCTTCAGTGTAATCATGACCTGTTAACGCTTACTCATGTAAATTGATTACCCCTCACCACTGCTCTTATACCATATAATAATAATAATGATAATAATGATTAATAATACTAAATTAAACAACTGATATTTTGTATGACCTTGTGTGAACATATCATCCCTTAGCTGGTCCTTTGCAGAACGTCGCTCTCATCACGGTCTACTTGAAAGAAAACTGGTCTCTTACCAGATCTCCCTCCTAGTGAAATTTTCTACCCAAAGTGTCACTTATATCCTACGCCCATCTTCGTACTGGTAGGTCCCTGCCCTTATTTTCTGGCACTATACCTTCTCCTATTATTCTTTCCAAAGCGCTGCAAGGCTAAAAATAGTTCTTTACTATGTTACATTTGACTTATCAATGGTTTATAAACAATTCCATTCTATATACAAGAACGATGTTATCAGGAAGGGAGTCTGCACAGAACCAATACTGAACTTTACAGGTAGACAACAAACCAAATGGTTTGGCCATGTAACACGATTGACAGCAGACAGGACACCACATAGAGCAATGTTATACGGATAAAGTGGTAACAAAACTGCTGAGCGACAACGCATAACATAGACCGCAGAAATATCGTAGACACTGAAGAGTACTTTATACGAAGCGAACAGAAGGTCCGGTTCCAGAGATTTCTTCATGACCTGACGCCGCGAGGCATTGCACCAGTAGAAATACAAAGAAGTATATTGAAATAATTCTATACTATATGAAAACTGACTCTGGGTGTTCAAAATAAACGATACTGAAAAGACAGCATTACACAGAGTAACAATTGACTAATTACAGAGCGATAACTGACCTGTAACTGAGTAAAAACTAAGTTGCCACTGAGCAATAACTGACTAGTTACTGGGCAAATACTGATTTGTTATTGGGCAAAACCTGATTTAAAACGGATTGGATACTGGCTTATCACTGAGTTTAAAAAAAAAAAAAAAAACAGAATTGTTACTGATCAAAAACGACTTATTACAGAGTAAAAATTGAATGTTTTAAAGAAAAAAAAAAAAGATTTATTACTGACTAAAGCCTGACTAGTTACTGAGCAAACACTGACTTGTTACTCATTAAAAACGACTCATTCCTGAGCAAAAACTGACATATTACTGAGTAGTTAGTTGCAGTTGCAATTTGATGGTAAACGGGTGGGCTTATATTTTCTCCCATAATTTTGTGCCAGCAAAAACCACAGAAGATACCATTTGAATTTTGCAGTCTCGGCAAAAGCCAGCAGCATACATACGTATTAAATGCGCATAGCAGCCGTCAGATGTACCGACACAAACATTCCGCAACCGAAAACGCAGTTCTACTGAGATTGGGAACAAAAATGTTGTGTCCTAAATCATCATGAAGCAGGTTCTTTGCTGAATCTCGCTCTCTTCACGGTCTGCGTGAAAGAAACTCAGCCTCTCGCCAGATCTCCCGTCTCATGCCACTTTTCTACCCAAAGCGTCACTTACATCCTGTGTCCATCTTTGTGCTGGTCGGTCCCTGCCCCTCTTTTTTGGCACCATACATTCTGCTAGTATTCTTTCCAATCTGTCATGGCACTTGATTTGATAATAATATTTAAGTTTCCACGACAAAATACTATTTACTAGGCAATCTTCCCTGATGTTTAGATCTTTCAGGATGTCAGTACTTCTTTTCTTCATCTCTCATGGTATACTGAGAATCGTTCTGTAGCATTTCAGCTCAACAGCTTCCAGTGTCTTAATTATTGGGTGTCCTTAATACTGTAACGGACCCTTTTCCACCTCTTCAGGCGTATTGGGCATGTAGGGCTAGACCTATATTTTATAAACCAATCGGCACTCACCAGTAATGTGGCATGTCTCACGTCAGCGGCCTTTACTTCCCAAGACTGCACCTGGTACCCATTTAAGATGGGTCGACCTGAGAGCCAAGTTAATTGAAAAAAACAACAACACTAACCCACAACCTTCCGATTAGCGGGCGGGCATCAACACGACGGCACCCTCCAACGCACTGTATGAAAACTTGTGTCTATTGTACCTACAGAACAATATACCACACATGTAAACGGGATTGTCAGATGGAGGTTTAAATAATAACGCATCCAGTGACAAACACATCCCAAGAAACACACCTGGGTATGTCGCCTGGTGAAGGTAATGGAAGTTAAAGTAATTTTCCTTACATATATACAGCCAGGTGACGATTTTTTAACTCTTATCAGTTACATTTAGTGACAAACACATCCCAAGAAACACACCTGGGCATGTCGCCTGATGAAGGTAATGGAAGTTAAAGTAATTACATTACACGTATACAGCCAGGTGATGCATTTTTAACTCTTACTAGTTATTTGCAGTAGCGCGTATTTTAGTCAAAACCATACAGATGTGTCAGTACGAGAGGATTAATTCCATTGCATATTGTTCTACTGCAGAAATTGTTTTCTCTCTCTCTCTCTCTCTCTCTCTCTCTCTCTCTCTCTCTCTCTCTCTCTCTCTCTCTCTCTCTTTCTTTCTGCGTGTGGGTGTCACTGCTGTCTATCTCTCTTTCTACTCTGATTTTTCTCCAGCTTTCTCATTCGTATCCCCCTCTCTCTCTCTCCTGTCGAGCCCTTTCTCTTTTCTTTACCTTTGTCTCATCTCTACCTTTCTGTCTCTTTCTCTGTGTCATGTCTTTTATATCTTTCTCCTGCCTATCTCTCGCTTATCATTCCTCTATCCTGTCTCTCTATCTATTTCCCATTTATGTTTCTATTTTATCTTTTTCTATCTCGCTATTTTCTCTCTCTCTTTCTCACATTCTCTTTCTTGCTCTCTCCTCTCTGTCTGTCTCTTTCTTTCTGCCCCCTCTCTCCTGTCATCTTGATCTATCTCCTCTTTTTCTCTCTTCCTGCCCCCCCCCCCTCTCTCTCTCCTGTCATTTTGATCTATCTCCTCTTTTTCTCTCTCCCTGCCCCCCTCTCTCTCTCTCTCTCCTATGGCGCGCTCTCTCTTCTCTTTACATCTCTCTCATCTCTACCTTTCTGTCTCTTTCTCTGTGTCATGTCTCTCCTCTATATCTTTCTCCTTTCTGCCCCTCTCTTCTCACTCATCTATCGTCGATCTCTATCTATTTCCACTTTAGGTTTCTATTATATATTTTTCTATGTCGTTCTTCTCTCTCCTTGTTGCTTTCCTCTTTCTTGCTCTCTCCTCTCTATATGTCTCTTTCTATCTGCCAATCTATTCTGTCCTCTTTCCTGCTCTCTCCTCTCTATATGTCTCTTTCTATCTGCCAATCTATTCTGTCCTCTTTCCGGCTCTCTCCTCTCTATGTGTCTCTTTCTATCTGCCAATCTATTCTGTCCTCTTGATATCTCTCTACTCTCTCTCTCTCTCTCTCTCTCTCTCTCTCTCTCTCTCTCTCTCTGTGTGTGTTTGTGCAGGGTAGCTGTTTGCTCGCAGATAGCGTTAACAAAATAATCACGAAATGATGTTGATACATCGACAAACCCCGAGTATCTTGAAACACCAGCACTTGCAAACCAAAAGTCTTATCACGATA